AGAGAGAGAGAGAGAGAGAGAGAGAGAGAGAGAGAGAGAGAGAGAGAATGTGAACTTGCTAGAGAAGCGTAAGTAAGGGCTTTCCTTTCCAGTACTTGGCTTCAGGCCTCTGTGGGCCCAATTTTACTTCCTGCCCCAAGGTTCTGAGACACCCTGGAACCTAATAAATTATTTTCTTCATCTGAAGCCAGCTCTGGAGGGTCTAGTATCTTTTTTGAGGTGTGGGTACGTGGAATTGAGCTCGGGGCAATTAATCTCTGAGCCACATCCCCAGCCCTTTTTTATATTTTATTTAGAGACAGGTCTTGCTGAGTTGCTTAGGGCCTCACAAAGTTGCCGAGGCTGGCTTTGAACTCACGATCCTCCTCCCTCAGCCTCCTGTGCCACTCGGATGACAGGTGTGTGCCTCCGTACTCGGCAAGTATTTTTAATCAAAAGTGTGGACTGAGACACAGAGCACTTTTACTCTAGCAACTGCCCGTGATTCTCCCAGCAGCTTTGTGTGGCCTTTTAGCCTCATTGCAGGTAAAGAGGCATGGGGGCAGAAAGTGCTGCTGTCACACAGGGAGTGGGGCCTGTGCACTGTGTGTGGAGCTGACTTGTGTCGGCTTGGGAGAGCCTATGGTCAAATGAATTATGTGAACCATTTGGTTGAATTTTATTCAACCATGGGTGGCTTGAAATCAGCCATTGCAGGAATATTGACACCTGAAAACTGGCAACACTTCAAATCAGGGTTTTTTTGTTTTTGTAAACAACCAGTTCACCAGCATAGCATTGAACTTAGGGGTCCAGTGGGTACCAACTGATGCTGCATTGGTGTGGGCCATCCCCGGGGTGTGGTAGGGCCTCCTGCTTACCGTAGTGGTTGATACTGTTGATGAGGCGGACTCCCACTTGAGCATGGTTGTTGGTCATGAGCACGATGTCAAAGACATCCTCACTGTCGGGGTACAGCTCCCGAAGCCGCTTGTTTACAGCCTCCAGAGCCTGGAAAGAGAGGGCACCCTGTTGCTCAGATTCTTATGATGGATACCTGGAGCTGGTGGCCAGGAATCCAATGAGAGGAGGGGAGGAGAGGAGAGGGGAGGAAAGAACAGGGGAGGGGAGAGGAGGGGAGGGGAGGTCGGAGGCAGACCTGGGATGAGAACAATGCATAGGGACAGTCTCCTAATGGTGTTCTCCACCGGTGTGCAGGGTGTTTGCTCTTCAGGAGCACCTCACAAAAGAGATGAGTGAGGGTCACTCACCAAACTGGTTACCTGGCACAGGGCTACATCAGTCCAGAAGAGGGGTGGCCTCTTCTTCCCACAAAGGCTCTGTTCCCTAGCCAAGCCTGTGCCCCCATGGGGTTGCATCTGTACAGAGGGGGCTCCTTTTCCTTGCTCAGACAATCATGGGAGTGTTTTTTTCTAGTCCCCACGAAGGCACTCTGTGGGCAGCTGCAGGACCTGCCCCTCACCTTCACGAAGGGGAAGGCTGGCCCAGGACTGAAGGGCTCATTCTCGTGCTCCAGCTGGTAGCGCACGTACTCCTCCACGCCCTGCTCCGTGTAGATCCGCTGCTCCTCGTCCATGCGGAACAAGGCTCGGGAGGACACAGCAATGGTGACAGCATTCTGAGGCCTGGGCTGTAGAGGTGCAGGAGTAAGGGCTGTCACTCAGACTTGCTCCGGGGCAGGTGTTCCTATGCAAACCCCTCAGCTACTGAAGACGTGGAAAAGACCCAGGCCCAGGCTTTTCCCTAAAGAGACTCAGTCTGGGAAGAGGCAGACAGGTTAGGACCCTGTTTACAGAGAACCCAGAGGCAGAGGATGGCTTGCCACCTAGAGTGCAATCTGAAGGAGGGACATGCCCTCAGGGAGTTCGCAATTTGGTTGGGACATCTGAATACAACAGAAAAATGAATATGATGTATGTGGCCCAAGTATGACTGATGCTTGAGATCCAGGTGGTTTCCATTAGGAAATGAGAGCTACATGCCCTAAGGAAGAAATTGATGGCCAGGAACATAGCAATTACATAAGAAAATTTATCTCCAGCCCAGATCTGTCTCCTGAGTTCCAGATTCAAATATCCAACTGCCCCAGCTTCAACTCATCATGCCTGAGGCTGAATTCCCACCACTTCCTCCACCCCCAACTTGATCCCTCCTCCTTTCCCTCACCTCCAGGCTCAGCACCACCATCCACTCCAGAGCTCCACCAGAAGAGTAGACAGCACTGCTGCCGGGTTTCCGTTTTAGCGACTAAATGGCTCAGGGATCACTCCAGGTAAACTGGGCTAACTGGGCTGCATTAAAATAACCACACAAGAGACACAAATACCTTTTTCTTTGGGTCACAGTGACAGCTCCTCTGACCTTAAAGGTCCACAGGAAGAGAGAGAGAGAGAGAGAGCAAGCGCTGACCCCTTTTATTGAGGAGAAGCTATTCAAATGAGACAAGGGATCAGGTTTCAGGGGGCTGAGTCTATCTTCATGATGTCCACTGTCAGCAGGTTGACTGACACCTGGGTAGGCCACACTCAAAGGCACAGTAAGAGAAGGGGACACACACACAAGGCACTTCCATGGAACATTCTATCCTAAACAGGGCAAGGGGTAAGATTACAAAGGAACAGGTGAGCATAGCTCCACCCATGGGGCTGTAGGAAGACACAGCCTGGGCAGGAAGACACAGGTCACTCGAACCCTAGAAGAGCAAGGCAGTCTAGCGGCTTGGGTGCCTGAGGCCACATTGCCCAGCAGGGGAGTTAACTCAGTCACGTGCTAGGTTGGTCTCCCACACACCACTGTCCACAGAAGCAGAACCCTGAAGCGGCTTCACTCCTTCTTCTTCCCCGCTCCATTCTCCATCAGCCAATCACCCCAAGCAGTCAATACGACCAAGGTCCAGCCACTTCTTTCTGTCTTCTCTACCAGACACCAGCCCATCAACACCTCTCACCCTCTACAGTTTCTCACTCATGCTGCTGTCGGGGAATTTTCCTAAAGTGCAGATGGGAGCACAGCCCACCTCTTCAGTGGTGACCACTCTTTTCAGAGTGGAATTGGCAGCCTTTGGTATGGAGTTGGAAGTCCTTCACAACAGACCCCTTTCTCTTTCCCCACTCTCAGCTTCTGCTTTCCCAGCCTTGTTCAATGTGACCTTTCTCATATCTGACACACCCTCCCCTTCTTCCTCTGAGCCTTTGCTGTTCCCTTTACGGATATGCTGTTTCTCATACTCTCTGTCCAGCTAACTTCTACTCAACCTACAGGTCCCAAATTAGACTGTCACCTCTAGGAAGACTACCCTCACCACAGTCTCCATTTGATACCTCTCCTGTGGGTTTCCTTCTTAGTACAATTAACATTAAATTATAATCACTTATTTAACGTTTTTCTAGGTGAATTTAGGAAGGAAGCAGGAACATGAGTATCTCATCTGTTATTGTTATTATTGGTACCAGTAGTAGTATGGGGGATTAAACCCAGGGACACTTTACCAGCAAGCGAAGCCCCCAGAAGTTTTTTATTTTTTTATTTTGAGACAGGGTCCTGGACTGGGGGTATAGCTTAGTTGGTAGAATGCTTGTCTTGCATGCACAAGGCCCTGGGTTCAATCCCCAGCGAGAGAGAGAGAGAGAGAGAGAGAGAGAGAGTCTTGTTAAGTTACTGAGGCTGGCCTTGAACTTGTGATACTCCTGTCTCAGCCTCCTGAGTCGCTGGGATTATAGATGTGTGCCACCATGTCTGGTTTCATTACTATATCTCTGTGCCTGGCACAGAAAGGTGCTCAGCAAACCTTTAATACCTCTGGAATTCTAACATATTTCAAAAATATTTCACACATATACATGTATATATGTTTTTAATTTTTTTTTAAAATTATTTTTTCTTTTTAGATATACATGGTAGTAGAGTTTATTTTGACATATTATATACACATGGACTATAACTTATTCTAGTTAGGATCCCATTCTTGTGGTTGTACATGATGTGGAGTTTCACTGGTAGTATATTCACATATGAACATAGAAAAGTTATGTCACATTCATTGGATTGAACCCAGGGGTGCTCTGCCACTTATTGCTGTCACCCAACCTTCAAAGTATTGGTAGTAAGAGGTGAGGCCTTTGGAAAGTGATCAGGTCATGATGGGATTAGTTATTCTTATAAAAGACACACCAGACAAGGCCCTTCCTACAACACTCCCCTTTTAAAAGTTTTTTAAATTTTGAGACAAGGGTCTCACTAAGTTGCTGAGGCTGGCCACAAACTTGCAATCCTCCTACCTCAGCCTCAGAGTCACTGGGATTACAGGTGTGCACCACTGGGCCCAGCATCAATATACTTTTAACATATTTCAATAAGAAAGTGTGTGCAATAAAAAACTTCACATGGAGCCAGGCACGGGGGCACATGCCTATAATCCCAGTGGCTGGGGAGGCTGATGCAGGAGGATCTTGAGTTCAAAACCAGCCTCAGCAAAATTGAGGCATTAAGCAACTCAGTGAGACCCTGTCTCTAAATAAAATACAAAAACAGGGCTTGGGATGTGGCTCAGTAGCTGAGTGACCCTGAGTTTAATCCCCGGTACAAAACAAAAATGAAAAAATTAACATGAAACAGAAATTCCAATGCAATGCCCTCATCTGTTCAGATTGCTTCAAATATAGCAGGTGCCCAGAAAATATTTTGTTAGTTGGTATAAAACTGGTGGACATTGACCAGTTTTTTATGCCGGGCACCTGAGCTTGGATAGAGACATGGCTCCTATTCTCAGAGCTCACGGTGTGGTAGGGAAGGTGATGGTAGTAAGAGGTGAGGACTTGGGAGGTGATCAGGTCATGATGGGATTAGTAGTCCTACAAGAGACACCAGAGAGCTTGCCTTGCCTGTTCCACCATGTGAGGACACAGCTAGAAGTTTCCATCTTTGAATCAGAAAGTGGACCCTCATCAGATACCAGTCTGCTGGTGTCTTGATCTTGGACTTCAGCTTCCATAAATAAATAAATTTATGTTGTTTACAGTAAAAATCACTGAGTTTATGGCACTATTTGTTATAACAGCCCAATGATCTAAGACACCCACTTCTGGTGGAAAGGGGAGAGGAGTTTGACACCACAGACAGCAGCTGGACTCTTTTTAGTCCCTGGCAAGGATCAGAATGTGGGTGCCCAAGGGATTCATGGACACCCAGAGAGTCCTTCCACATCTCTGTGACCTGGGAAGTCCTAGATCATGATTCCTACTTTATAGATAAGGAGACAGGGGCTTAGATTGAAGTCAAGACTTGTGAGTGGACCTCAAATTCTGGCCTGTTCCTGGTAGCCCTGTGAACTATGGACCCCACCCCACTGCTTCTTTCTGGGGTCAAAACTGGGCTCCAATCAGTTGATAACACTGAATGATCACCGTGTGACAGGCACTATGCTGGGGACATAGCTGAAAACAATACAGGAGATCCCTGCCACCGTAGATCTTATTTATGATTTTCTTCAAGGCAGGGATTCATGCCATTCATTAGAAGAACACTGTCCAGTGGAATTTCCTGTGATAATGCAAATGTTCCATAATCTGTGCTGTCCATGTGGCTATGGAGCATTTGAAGTATAGCTAGTGAGACCAAAGACCTGGGTTTTTAATTTCATTTAATTTTAATGAACTTATATATCTACATATAGTTAGTGGCAAGTGCAGCTTTAGAACCTAAAAACAGGAATGGAGAGCCAAAGAATTCCCCAAGGTCATGTGACTGACTGACCTCAGTTGGCAAAGTATTAGTTTTTAACCCCAACCAAGATGGTGTATGTGGCAAGTAGGGTCAGTGTAAGGAGTGGTGGAACAGGTCCTCCTCCTAGGCTCAACCCAAATGTCTTTCCCAGTTGCTGAACACTGTATGTCTGTGTTTCCTTGGGCTGGGCACCCCCTAGCCCCATCAACACTGGTGATCCTTCAAGGAAGAAGCTAAAGTCAAAAGCCCTAAAGGAAAGGGGTGATAGGGTGATGGCCATAGATGGTAAGGGTAGGATCAGAGGTGGGGACATTCACTCTTCATGAATCTAGGAATTCTATATGCTTTTGAGACAGGGCTTAGCCTACCCTATCCTCTGGGCTTACTACCCCAGGGACAGACCCATGCTCCCTTGAAGGATAGAGAGCCAGCTGCTCCCCAGTCCCTTCAGGCAGATTCCCAAGCCTGTCATTCCAGCCCAGGCAGCCAGCCAAGGTCTCAGTCCCCACTTTCTGTCCCACAGTCTCTGCCAGACTGCCAAGTCCTAAGTCTCCTCTGGCCGAGCTACCCAGACCCCATCTCTTCCCACTCCTGACCATTGCAAGAAAAATCATCCTGGCTGCCTTGGCCCGAGGAGTCTCTATTTCCCTCTTTTCCAGATAGGGAAGTAGGCTAGTGAGGGGCAGTTTTGTTCTACACCACACAGCAAAGTCAAGGCAGAGCCAAGATGAGATCCCAATTTTCGACTTCCATCCTGGCCTCTGTCCACACAGCAGTTCCCTTGATATGGCCCTCCTCAATGGCTCCCAGAAGTCCCCAACCTCTGTTACTTTAGTGACTTCATTGGATATACCTTCCCTAGCCTCCCTTTCCAGATTGGGAGAAATGGTGAGAGGTAGAGTCTCAGGACAGGGCATCTTTTCCCTCTCAAATGGAATTCCCAAGACAAGGACTCTGCTCTCCACCCCCAGACTACTCTCAACACAACACCAAGTAAAGTGGGGTCAAAGGGCCTCCAGGGCATGTGCTGCTGTAGGAAATGCGGCTCCAGCTGGAATAGATGAATGGCAGTCAAGACTCCAAGCTGACCGGAAGAACAGGTGAGAGGGTGCTTAGAGACCCTCCTGAGCCTGGCCAAATCTCTAACACCTGGTCACGTGTTGTCAGGTGCACCAAAATCAGAAAGCAGCCCACATCTCAGACTGGGAAATGGGTCAAAACAATTCAGTGGTTCAGCCTGGAAGCTCTGGCTCTAGGAAGCCAGAGTCCTGCCAGCTCCCTGCCTTCTGCTGGGGCTGAGGCATTGCTCTGACTTAGGGGGTGGGGAAGGAAGATTAATAGAGGGCAGCTCAGCTACCACTCCCACTCCAGCCTGCCTGAGAAGCTTCCATATAAATCAACATGATTCTGCCTAGTGCACCCAAGATAGGAACATAGCCAAAATGCTATTATTTCTGGAAGGACTTAGAGAGAGAAGGGTGGCTGGGAGAAAGGAACAGAAGAGCTCTGGATGGAGGAAGTCCTCTGACCCCATAAGGTGAGGGCCTCCTATGTGCCTTCACTCAGTTAAATATTTCCCTCAGGCTCCTGGGAATAAGAATAAGTCCGGGCCAGGCCCTGATGGGGCCCAGGAGGCCTAAAGCCCCCAAAATAGCCTGTGGGAAGAGGGGCTACTACAGGAAGGAATAGGAGCTGGGAAGCCTCCAGGTTCCTTGCCTCCCAGAGATCCATGAGGGAGGCTGGAGGGGTCATGACTGACCTCTGGGCCTGAGCTCCCTGGTTCTTGGTGCTTGGGGAGGAATAGGATTTGGAACACTGAAGCCACTCCAATCTCCAACATCCATCTCCTCTCCAGCCCCCAGACCACAACATCAATCTAGCTTTGCCTTCTGTCTATTTTGCCTTCTGCCAAATCTGCCCTTTCCAATCCATCCAGCAAACAGACCTAGAGTGATCATCTAGAATGAAAATGGGATCAGGCAAAAAATAAGGGATCAATTTAATCCCCTGCTGAAAAAATCCTATAATAGGTCCATTATGGTCTCCATGTTTTGTTGTTTTTTTTTTAAATGTAGGTTGATCTTTTATTCAAATGAACTTTTAGGCAGAACCTCAATATGAAAATCATATTGCCATAAATAATAGGTATGAGCTTATTTTACAAATTCAAACATATAATATATATTTATGAATGTATTTATTATAAAGTCAACCAACAAAAACAACACAGTTGTTTTGATGAGAACAAACATAAAACCAGGGGTGGGGACGCCAGGGCAGACTTAAGCTTTAGAATCCAGCCAATTTGTTTCTGTTTTTGTTTTGGAGCAGGGTTGAGAAAGCCCTGATTCATACAGATAAGTGGTTGCAAGTGGGAATGGTTTTAATTTTGTTAAATAATGGGGCTTACAATCTCAAGATGCTTTTCTATTAAATAGAACTGAGGAAAAGCTTTATTCTGAGGTTTGCTAAAAATGTAATAATAATAAACCTGTAGCACAAGTTAATATGTCTCTGGTCCCCATAGTGCTGAAATCTCCAATGAACACATTTGAGTGAGTTGGGCTTTATCACATATTTTTAATAGTTTAAAACATAGTTTAAAGAAGAAAGAAAATTGTATTCAATTGTCTGCAGGCCCCCTAAAACATGGGTCTCCGCAGAACCTAGTTTGAAAACCTCATCTCACTAAGGCCCTGTCCACAAGCCCCAAGTTCCTCCACCCAACAGCATCTCTGTTACTCTTCTCTGAATAACCCCACATTTTCCTACTGAGTCCTGATTCTGAAACACAGTCCTTGATTTCAAAGACATCTCCATCTTTTCCCTCTCTGCCTGGGAAACTCCATCTACTCAGGTTTTAAGATCAGCTGAAATACCAACTCCACAAAGCCTTTCCTGGTGGGCAGTCACTCCCTCCTCTATGCTCCCACTGCACCATGTGGGATCTTTTTTTGAGCACCCACCATCTCCAGAGCCTCCAACAGTGCACTGTGATCTCCTTTGCCTGGGGCACAGTTTAATCAATATCTCAATGCCATGGATGACCAAGGCCTAGAGATGTCCAAAGAATGACTGTTGGGGTGAGCTTCCTAGAGAAGGCTCTTTGAAAGGAAGCTTCAAGGTCTTTTGAATACATCCAGGCCAGCCTTTATCCTCAGTCCCTTCCCCAAGCTCTGAGATCTGGGAAGATGGACTGAGCAAGGCTAAAGGCAGACCAGGACTTTATGATTTATTCCACAGGGGAAGAGGAGCTCTTTCCTCTGTGTGAGGTCTCAAAGGTTGGACTCAACTTTGGGATGTTAATGTCCATTTCAAAGGGGGAGCAGAGCTTGCTACTGGGGTGCAGAACCCAGCGTTGGGACCCTAGAATGAGGGGCACAAAGGCCTGAGCGCACAGAGCAGATCCCCAGTGCCTGGAGCAAGAAGCTCCTTTTAGGACGCAGGGAGGGCGGCATCCCGACACCGAGAGCAGGGCCCCAAGCTATGGCCCGAACGCAGAGGTTTGGGTCCCGAGCCCGGTGTCCAGATAGTGGAGAGGGGAGCACACAGAGAGGAGCCGGGTTTCCAGTTTCGAGTTACTGGAGCCTGGGACGCGGCTTCAGGCGGGGTTGACCAGCTTTGCCAACAAGTGCACCCAAGCACCCCGGATAGTGGGGAAGGAAGTAATCTGGGGTCGCAGCCCAATCTGAGCAGTGATAACACTTGGGGGGAGGGGGACCCTGGCGTGGAAACTGAGCCGAGGGGTGGGGGAGAGAAGAAAGAAAGAAACAACAACAACACACAACCACCAGAACAGAGCTCCCAAAATAAACCCGAGCCTGAGCCAACTGCTGGGCGCTTTCTGGAGCAGAGGAGCTGCGTTCCCTCCCAGAGGGGCACTACGGGTCCCTTCCCAGGGGCCTTGCAAACCCGCCTCTGAGTGACCCTTTCCCGGCCCGATCTCCCCATCCATGCCCCGCTTTTACCGATTTAGGTTTCTTCTTGGGCGCGAGGTTGTCATAGAAAGTCTTGGCCTCCTCCCAGCGCGGGGCCGCGGCGGTCTCTGCCCCGAGTCCAGGTTCCCGGGCCTCCCGGGACTCCCCGGGTTCCATGCTCCAGCTCTGACCCTGCCGGGCTGGAGCAGGCGGCTGCGGAGACGCGGAGCTCGCGGGGCCGGGCTGCGGGAGGGAAGGCGCGGCGGGGCGTGAGAAGAGGGCGGGCAGCGGCGGCCAGGGTGTCAGCGTGAGCCGCCGCCCCGCCCGCCCGCCGCGGGTGGGGGACCGGGAGGTTAGGCTCGCCCTCTCTGTCGCCGACGTGCTGCTGCTGCTATAGGTGCGGGGTACAGCTGAACTCTCCTTTCCCGACTGACCCGCGCCTGAAGCAAACTGAGGGATGCGGTTCCAGATTTGCAAGCTTGTAGGCTGCTGCGGATTCCGGATTGTCAGGATGATGTTCAAGGGCATGGAGAGAGGGGAGATCTGACAACTTTTCTCACCTAGAGTGTGGTGATCACCAAAAGAGAAAATGGAAAGTGACTCTCCACCTTCCTTTCCAAAGCTAACCGTCCCTCTGAACCCCTCGGATGGCAGAATGCTGGAACCCTAGGACCCTGAGCAGTCCCCTTCCCTTTGACCCTAGGCATCCTGCGGACTGAGGAGGAGGTGGATGGACAACTCCAACTACCAACAAGGACCAGCTCCTCAGCGGGGGGGGCAAGTGGGAGATCCAGCCAGCAGCCCTTCTATACCATGGCGGAGGCGGTCGAGACACTGTGCGTGCGATGCTGCCTCTTCTGCGCCCTGGCCTAGCGGGAAACCCAGATGGAAGAAACTGGGACTCTGAGACCAGATTCTCGCTGGCTCCTTGTTGGCCAGCAGAGGGCGCGCGTTCCCAGGTCCCACCTGCCGAATTGGGAGTGGTTATTTACATGTTATGGACAGGCTGGAGGCGGGAGCTTAGAAGTAGGGCCTAGGAAACAAACGTTAGGCAGCCGTTTTTTGTGTGTGTGTGTGTATGTGTTTTTTTTTTAATTCCACGGTATTGTCCCTTTGGTGCAGAGCCCTGAACTATGAATATCATCCATTCCAAGGAACAGGCCAGGAAGTCTAAGAGTGAATACAGAAAGGAGGGATCTTCCTGGCCTCCACCATGTGAGGAGGAACCTACCAAACCTTGTTTGGGAAAAAGAGGGAAATTATAGTAATCAAAAAAAGTTATAGGAGGGAGGGGATGTGTGTTTGTCCTTCCCAAGACTTAGCAGATAATTTCTAGTTATGACCCCAGACCTCTCCCACCCTGCCTGCCTTTGCTAATTTGATGATAACATTCCTCCTATCTGAGGTGGCCTTGTGACTTGCTTTGACTAACAGAATGCAGTAGAAATTACGTTATATGGTTTCCAAGCTTAAGTCTTAAGAGGCCAGGCAGATTCCATTTTTTGCCCTCTTGGGAACCAGCTACCATGTAAAGAAGTGTGGACCATTCTACTGCAAAGAGGCCACGGAGTATAAGAAGCCAGTATAGAGGTTGGAGATGTATTTCAGTGTAGACCATGTGCTTAGCATGTGTGAAGTCCTGGGTTCAAACCCTAGCACCCCAAACAAACAAAGGACAGCAAAAAGAAGCAGCAGCCAGTGAAGAACTGGGTTTCCCAGGTGACAGCACATGAGTGAGGCCATCTTGGCTCTTTCAGCCCCAGCCTTGCCCCAGCAGAATTCACCTGTGTGACTCCAGTCAACACGAAGGTGAAAAACCAACCAGGTGGACCCAGCCAACTCATGAAATTGTGAAAAATAATAAAGTGTTGGTTTAAGCATTAAGCTTTGGGGTAGCTTGTAACATAGTAATAAATAATTGAGGGGGGGGGTGCCAGGGAATGAACTCAGGGGCACTCAACCACTGAGCCACATCCCCAGCCCAATTTTATATTTTTATTTAGAGACAGGGTCTCACTGAGTTGCTTAGTGCCTCGTCATTGCTGAAGCTGGTTTTGAACTTGCAATCCTCCTGCCTCAGCCTCCCAAGTCACTGGAATTACAGGTATGAGCCACCATGCCTGGCATACATAGTAATAAATAATTGAAAGTCTAATTGGGTGTCATGGTGCTCACCTGTAATCCCAGCAACTCAGGAGGCTGAGGCAGGAGGATCACAAGTTCAAGAACAGCCTCAGCAATTTAGCAAGAACTTATCTCAAAATAAAATAAAAAGGGCTGGGGATATGGCTCAGTTATTATGTGCCCCTGGATTTAATCCCTGGTACAAAACAAAAAGAAAGAAAAATAAAATCTGGGAAGACATCCAATATCTTCATGGAGAAAGATGAAGTCACTTAGGAAGAATGTATAGAGTGGTTGTGGTTATTTGGATGAAGATGAGCACTTGACACAAAAGTAAACCAACCCCATGCTGCCCAGTGATTTTGACCTATATGATTGACTTGAAAAGATGAGCTGGGCCAGTCAATTCCTCTTTCTGGAGAATTTGGTGAAAAAAGGAACTCAGGAATGATTGAGGATGCTGTGAAATATAGTTGGTTCCCAAGAGACTCAGATGAGCCTCAGCAAGCTGTAAGTATATGTAAAGTTAGAGGGATGGGGGTAGAAAGTCTCTATGAGCAGAGTGAACCAACCAGCAGATAAAGTTGGGAAAACATATGCAGAGGGCAGCAGAAATGCTTAGAGTTAGCCGCCGCCTCTGGTCCTGACAATTTCCCAAGTCCCAGAGGAGGACCGGCTAGGTGCCCATCCCCAAATTTCCAAGGGATTCTCCACATTGCTTCAACCAAAGAAGAAAGTTGGTGGCAACTGGTGTTGTTTTACTAAGCCACCTTTCCAAGCTTCCTCGAATAATGAGACTTGCCTCCAGACAAGGAGTAACATGTGCCAAAGACTTGACCATTGTTTGCCTGCACACAGTGACTGATCCAGGGATGACCATGTGACCCCTTTTGGGCCTTCATATATGGATGTTGGGAGATTTGGCTCTTTTTTCCCTCTGGGGTTATTAATTTGGGATATGAGCTGTACACTCATCTTTTCCTGTGGCAGGTGAAAGAACATAAAAAAAGCCCATCTGGAAGGACAGTGAGGTCACAGAGATTGAGAAAAGCAGAAGCAGGAAATAAGAAAGGGTGTAATACAGAGTTTCTGGATCCAGCAGGGCCAGAACTTCCCAATTACATGAGTCAACAAGTCTCTTTTTGCATAAACTTGTTTATGTTGGATTTTGTTCACTTGTAACCAAAAGACCTAACTAATCCACTCCTCTTTACTCATGCTGACCTGAGTAAGGCTCTGTTCCTTGCCATCAAGGATCCTGCCCCAATTCATGGTTCAGTCCCTTTAAGAATTTTCCTAGACCCTTGGAAGGGTTATAGAAGTTGGTCCTCAACTTTTTCTGGGGATCTGACCATCCTATCTGGCTTGTCTCTCACTCCCTGATAGCTGGCTGAGTACAGGGATTCCCTGGCTCTGTATCTCTGGACTTCAATCAGTACTTTCCCTCTGGGGAGGGAATAAGTTGTGAACAGACCCCTTTGAGCATCCCTGCCCCTGAACTGCTCCCCTGGGCACCCCTGCCCAGCTTGCCTGGTCTTGTTGGCTAGAACTGAGGAAGACTCCTGGGCAGATGCTGCCTCTTCCATGAAACCATCTCCCCCCTTTGCTCTTACCTATCCTCATACCACCATTGGGCAAGACTCTTCCTCCTCTGAAGCTCAGAGCTCAGGGTTTGCTACCTCTCTTTCACATTCTGAACTGGGTTTATTCCCATGGCTAAGAAAGCACAATAAGCAGTGGCCTTGATGTCAGGAGGTCCAAGTTCAAGTCCCAGATTCCTTGTTTTGTTTTTTAAAATGAAGGCTTGAATGTGCTTGGCTCAGCTCACAGAGAACCACATGGGAAGGTTTGTGGATTATGATGGACTGTGTACACGAGGGGCCATTGTTGGGAGGTAGGAGGGCTTCACAGGAGGACATCGTTAAGGCTGAGGAATGGGTGGCCCAGAGAGAGGCGATGATGTGTACTGGCACAGAGGCCTAAGAGACTTCCCCCTATCCCCTTTAGGAGAATGGGGGAGGACAGTTCGGGGTGGCTTAAGTGCAGGGAACAGGAGAGGGAAATGAGACAAAGAACAAGTCTTCTGAGATCAGCTGGTGGCAAACCACACAGGACCTTGAGGGACATTAATGTGGGTATCCTACTGAGGGGAGACTGTGAGGAGCTGACATGGCCAGATGTGTGTTTTAAGAAGATTATTCTGGTTTCTCAGTGGCAGCTAGATGATGCAGAGGGCAAGACAGAAAGTAGCAAGGCAAGACTGGTGGGTAAGAAACTATGAGGGATTTGGGGAGAAGGTAACTCAGGACATTTATACCCCAATGCTGGCAGGGGATAGCACTTCCCATCCCCCCAGCATGGTTTCAGCTGGAAATAACAGTCCCAAGTTCTCAGACTTCTGAGTCACCTCTTCAGGTTCATGGATACCCCAAGGCGAGGTCACCCTCCTTCCTCTGTCCTAATTGCTTCCTGCCAAGGGAGCTCCCCCTCCAAGTGTCCTTGAGGAAACCCTTGTAAAAGCAATTGAGCATAGAAGAAGGAAACAGGTACCTCCAGCTGCCACTGCCCCCGATTCCCTTCAGAGACTAGTGCCTCTCTGACTGTTGGGGTGTGCTGAGAGGGGAGCTTGACTGCCAACCCCCACCCTACTCCCACCATACCTGGGCTAGCTTAGGGAGGGTCTCAGGACTGTGATTAATGGAGAAGCTTTGCACTACACAGCAGGGCAGGTGGGGGTTCAGCTTAGCTTCATTTGCTGTGCTGCATGCCTTGTCATGACAGGGCCGTATTTGTGAAAAGGGGTATTTTTTCTAATCAGCCCATCACTGCCTGGCTGCATACTCATGGGGCTGCTTCCTCTCTGAGAGGGTCCCTTTTCTTAATATGGACCAATTGTCACCCTGGCTCTGAGCCTTTCTTTCTTCCCACTATCCACTCATTTCTGCTCTTATGATGCCTTCTACTGGACAGAGAGAGAAACCAATTCCTGGTATGGGCTACCTTTGGCTTCCTTCTGGGGAGCTGTTCTGCTCACAGGTCCCACACATCAGTGTCCAGTCTGATCTCAGAAGACACCTGACTTATGGGATCCCCTAA